TTCCCCCCCCCCCCCCTTCTAGGGTTGCCATACCGATTCAACACAATGCGTGTTGGTAGCTTCTCCACCGCATGTGTAGGCACGTAACAGCATATGAGAGATGCTTTGAAAAATATGCTTTCAAATTTTTCAACAAGACTAACCTCAATTTAACTTGAAATATTATCTTCTAGAGATATTTTAGAAATCTTGGAGCTCCTAACACATGAAAAGTCTAGTTCGAGAAGACATGTGTCATCCAAGTAAATAGTCACACGGACTTCAGGCAAGTAATACTTGTAGGGATCATTGGGACGCGCTAGCGTGCATGCATTCTTTATCTTAGGTGGTAAGAATATGCATGTTTAGAAGTTTAGAATGGCAATTTTGGTTTAGAATGCATTGTATGTACAATATGGAAAATGACCGTTGTGCCCCTATGTCACGACCCAATTTTTCTTAGACTCGAGCTGCAACTATCTTTAAAAACATAAAAGACTAAATAAAAAGGATGATTAAAAAAAGTTCATGTTTAAAATAAAACATAAATATATTTAGAAAATTGAAATAAAGTTGGAATATATTGGGTGGGCTAGGTAAATAAAACAACTTAAAGTATTAAAACATTAAAACAGTGAAAACCGGCTCGGTATGATAGCTACTCTTGACTTACGTCCATTCTCAATCAGATCCTTCTTGTCACCTAAAACACAGGAGTTCTCAAATAGCTCCTTCTTATCACCTAAAAAGCATGAAAAAACTTAATGAGTATAAAGACTCAATAAGTAGCCTACACGTAGGCTCTTAATAGTATCTTTAGTATGTTAGGGTATCCTACTCTTTTTTTAACTTGTTCTTGTCCTAAGAATTTAGATTCTTAGATTCTACTCTCGAGTTCTTGTCATGGTTTTACCCAAAGACCTTAGTCATAGATTATGAGTTATAAATCTTGATTCTAATTTACGGACCTTAGTTCTAAGGTTCTATTTTCTTATTCTAATTCTCATGATTCATATCCCTGTCCTTATTCTTATTTTATGTTATTGTCCTAGGTTCTTGTTTCTTGCATGGTACCAAGCTATCTTCATGTCTTAATGGACTTGTCTTATGCCGTGCTACTTTAGGGCATGACATATTTGTATTTCTTGTTTCTTACTTTATGCCTTATGGTCGATTATAGCTTATCATGAAGTAACATCTTGGTTTAGTTTCTAAACTTGATCCTAATGACTTGAAACTTCAATAACGTGAAAAAAAGAAAGAAGAAAAAACAACTCCAAAATGATCCAAAGTGGTAAGATAGAGTCACAAAGGTTGAATTAGGTCATGGGTTAGATTACTGAATTGGATCGATGCAGGTTTAGAAGTTAGGTCGTTGGCAACCAATTAGGCCATAGGTATGATATGGGCGAGACTATATAGATCGTTAGGCTGATCTAGTGGTTGCAATGCGAGCTGGAGTGGTGTAGGCTATGGTAGAAAGATGGTAGAGAGAGAGACAGAGAGAAATAAAGAGAAATAAAGAGATTTATAGAGAAATATAGTTTATAGGTATAGATATCAATTTCTATCCACATATTTAGAATAATAATATTTTTAGATTCTTTTTAAAGTTCAAAAAAGTTCACGGTATTATTATGAGAGGTATTATTAAAATAAATTATAAAATTTAGAAATATTTTCTATAATTTAACTTAAAATATATTGTCACCTTCCAATTTAAATATAAATATGCTATTTGCATATTATTATAAAAAAAAAATTAATTAATAAAAAAACATCTTATTAAATAAAAGTTATTTAATAAAATTATAGTATTTTTTCGGAAAAAGGTTTAAATTAGAAATATTTGAAAGGGGCCCACAGGTTTTTTTATGAATTGATTATTGAAAAAGAGGTGTGAGGGAATGGGAACAATTTAGATTCGCAATAATCTATTTTCAGAAAACTGTAAAAAAAATAAATATGGTCATTTTAACCTAAAAACTATATATTTAATTATATTTAATTACAGAAATAATTATCTAAAAATATATATTATTTAGAAAACAAGGTAATTCAAATAAAAGCTGTCCGGATACGTCTGCAGCGTCTCACTGTAAAACGCGTACTCCATGAAATTTAGTCCCCAGTTTCTGGCTGGGGATAATCCTATCTGCTGATTCACGGCCGTTACGGAGGCGGACATAGCGGTGCGCGGTGTTTTGTTGGTTTGGCCTTATCATTTCAGTCCTTCATGGCTAACTTCTACCGCCTCTTCCGAGTTCTGTTGATGTTTTTCACTCTCTCAGGTTTGCTTTCTTGTTCTTGGTTGTTTGGCTGCTCGGAAACTGCGGCAAATGCTTTGGAACTTGTTTCTTGTTTATTTTAATCGGATATTCAAGAAAGAATGTAGAAATTTTTGTTACGGGAGTTGTGAGTGTGTCATCGAGTGAGATTCTGTGTTTGTTTCTTGAATTCAGTGAGTTGCAGAGGATTGTAATTCTTTCTGGTTTCCTTTTTCTTTTTTTTTTCTTCTCTACAGATTGTAACGATCAGTTGATTATAATTCCGTTTTTGTAGCATATTCTTTGTCTTTTACGAATTTCTGTTCTCCAGTGAATAATTACGAAATTGAGATGCCCTGTAAGTATCAATTTAAGATTCGTTCCTCTTTCAACGTTTTGGCTGTTCTTGAATTCGGATTGTGTTTTATTTCAGGTTCAGTAATCCGAACCATGAGTGTTGGAATTGGAATTAACTACGGCCAGATCGCTAATAATCTGCCGTCCCCATCACGCGTCGCCATTCTTCTCCGAAGTCTAAACATCAGTAGAGTAAAATTGTACGACGCAGACCCTAATGTCTTGTTTGCATTCTCCAGGAGTGATGTGAATTTCATTATAGGACTTGGCAATGAATATCTCCAGAACATGTCCGATCACGAGGAAGCCCTAGCTTGGGTTCAACAAAATGTTCAAACACACATCTCTCAGACTCAAATCACTTGCATCACAGTTGGCAATGAAGTTTTCAACTCCAATGATTCCCAATTAAGGTCTAATCTTCTTCCTGCAATGCAATCTGTTTATAACGCGCTTGTTAATCTTGGGCTGGATAAGCAGGTTTCTGTTACCACAGCTCATTCTCTTAATATCCTAGCCAACTCTTTCCCTCCGTCGGCTGGGACATTCAAGCCGGATCTTGCTGAACTCATACAGCCAATTCTCAATTTCCACTCGATGGTTAAGTCACCTTTTCTTATAAATGCATATCCCTTTTTTGCATACAAGGATAGCCCTGCCCAAGTTCCCCTAGAATATGTGCTTTTCCAGCCTAACCAAGGGATGACTGATCCCATTACAAATTTGCACTATGACAATATGCTGTATGCTCAAATCGATGCGGTTTATGCTGCCATCAAAGCCATGGGACATACAGATATCCAAGTCCAAGTCTCTGAGACTGGTTGGCCATCTCAGGGCGATATGAACGAGGTCGGTGCTACACCAGAGAACGCAGGGTTGTATAATGGTAATTTGCTAAGAAGAATTCAGAGTGGACAAGGAACCCCGGCAAAACCATCAGTTCCGATCGATATCTATGTTTTTGCTTTGTTTAACGAGGATTTGAAACCCGGTCCAGCATCGGAGAGAAACTATGGTCTTTACTATCCTGATGGTACACCAGTTTATAACATTGGATTGCAGGGGTATCTCCCAGAGTTGTTGTATTCATCGTCCAAAAGAAATGTAAGAACGCCATTTATTTTGTTTTGCAATTCCTATTACTGTTTCTACATTATTATATAAAGTATCTGATTTGTGAATAATTTATTTGCAGGTTTTCTCAGTTTTGAGCTTGCTTCTTATATTCATAGCCTATCAATTAATAATGAGACAGTAGAAGTATAGATAGTTGAAATTCTTATTCTTAGCATGATGTGTTTTATAGAGGAGCCCGTACAGATAGATCCCTTCAGCTGCTGCACCTAACCATCCATCTGTATTATATGTTTACTTCCTATCCCATCATCAATTTGGTTCATTGGATGAGTTCTTTTTGTAGTTTCTCACAGCAATAGAGTATTATCATTTCATTATGAAGCTTTTTCACTGTCTTGAATTGAAATAATATTGTGCTCCAGAAGAAGAACCGGTTTCTTTTTTCTTCAACTCTTTGCAGCTTCATTTAGGTCTGATGTAGTAAATCTCACAAAACTCAAAGGTACTCATATCGGAAAAGGGTACTGAACACATACCTGGGAAGCCGAATTTGAAACTGCAAAAGCTGAGGATGGTTGACTATAGGGAATGATCACGGATTTATAGGTAAGGAATACATCTCCAACATTTATAGGTAAGGAATACATCTCCAACCGTACGAGAGTTTATGCTCAGAGTGGACATGATTAATCTTATTCCTATTCCTAACTCAGAGTGGACATGATTAATCTTATTCCTAACAAAAAGTAGACATCTGGGGAAGGTTTTGGACAGTTCTCATCACAAATTGTGGACACCCTACCTTTGTCTTTTTTTCCTTGCAGGAACAGAAGGTGGGCATCAGCTTCTGGCCCTTTTGGTGGAGTGATCTCATACGTGGCGGGGCCAAGTGATTCAAGTAGTAAGGGTCAGCCTTCTTGGGCCTGCCTCTGTTTTCCTTTTTGATAAGTTTGATATTTATTTTTTGAATTGTCATCTTAGGAGAAAGATGAGGTTTCTTTCTATATGAGGCGGTGGCTGTCCTTTTCAAAGGGAGGTATGGGAAGAGATTTGGTGGGTGGCTTACAAATAAAGGAATTAGGTATTTTATTTTTGTTGGTATTTTGGATGAGGTGTTAATGGATATCTTCATCTCTTAAAAATGGACTGAACCATAACGAGCATTAATGATTTTGGATGATGATGTTTGGATTGCCATTTTCATGTATTTGAGATTTCTGATATTTCTTAGGGAAATTGGCCTCCTTTTTATATTCTTTTATTTACCTTTTTGAGGACTAAAATTTTGTTCTACCTTTCTCTTCTTCTTCTCTCTCGTATTCTCTAACTTTTCCCTTCTCCTCTCTCATCTCCAAAGAAGATGAAAAATTAAGGTGAGGACCTAAAGGAAGAATTGTTTGATTTTTTCATAAATTTTTCATAACCATTTTAGAGCTTTCATTTGTAAGGTTCTTTAACTTAGATTTCTATATTTATTGTTTGATAGATTTAAATGGGATTTGACATAATTTTTAATCATTCTAACCCTATCCTACTTATTGCTATTTTTTTTTAAGTTTAGTGTTTGAATGTGACCATACAATTTTCGATACCTTGAATCATAGGTCGTCACGTACACTCGAGGATAAAAAGGAGCGCAGTAAAATTTCCTTTTGTAGAATCGGAGACACAAGGAATTTAAAATTTAAATATGCATTCAAAATCAGTATTAAAAAAAAAATAGTTTAAAGGTGATATCTACGGAGTCAAATTAAAACGGTTTAAAAAAAAATATGAGTTTGAAGAAGTAGCATTTAAAATAATAATAAAATGATGAGAAGGAAGACGATTCGATCTAAAGGACACCTCGTGTAGTTGCATGGATTTGCATGCTCTAGCTATCAACTGTCGTCTACCGTCCATTTGACAAAAATAGAATAACATGGCATGAGTATAAAAATACTCGCCAAGCAACATAGTTGTAGGCTCTTGTCAAACTTCTTAAGGTAATACTCATAAGTGTGGAGGAGCCATTTTTGCTCGAAACGGTGACCGTACTCCATACATATCTTCTTACTAAGCTCTATGGATTCTCCTTATTGGTGTCGAGCAACATCTACCGTTTCTATGATTAGCAAACTACCTGTCACTATGTCTTTCCAGGCTGGAACAATAAACCACCTACTCATGTACCCTCATCGGGTTAGAACAGTTTACTTGCTACTTTGCCTTTTTAGGTTAGAATAGTAAAACTACCTGTCACTGTGCCACTCAAGATGGAACAATAAAAAGGTCATGGTTCTCTCCACTAGGCACCATCGATAGTACTTTAGTAGTATACCTTGATATGAACCACGACCAATAAATTTTCATACCTCAAGGTTCAATTACAAGGACAAGAGTCAAGAAGCTACAACAAACCTTGTATACTTATATTCAAGCTATGACGAGCTTATCAAAGGAAATTCTAGAAAATGTTGGAGACCTCTCTTATATGTTGTGCAAAGTTGAGCTTCAAGAAAGAGATCATTAAGTGCACTTTAGTTGCATTTAATGAACTCACTTAAATTTATGGAACTAGTCGAAGGATGACTTATAAGCACATTTCATTAATGGCACTATTTAATTACAATTTAAATATTTGTTTGTCATGTTTAAGCTAGATTTTAATATAGAAGGTAAGGTTATTGTAACCCGCATGTTACCATATTTCACCATTAACTAGTCATTTTAATATGGAGGTTAGGGGTATTTATTATTTACTAACCAATTTAATTTGGGAGTTATGTCACATAGGTTAAGGTGGTAAAGGTTATATAGCCTTCTTTTCTTTTATTTGATTAGAGATATAAAGAATTGAAATTTTCTTCCGGGAAGAGACTATGAATACCCACAAATTAGTAGATAAAAAACAGGTTTTGGAAGAATGAAATTGAGATATGAACAAGTTAGTAGATAAAAAACAGGTCTTGGAAGAAGGAAATTGAGATATGAAATTGAGAATTTTACCTTACCCTTAGAAATTTAAGCATCATTTTTGTCATTTCTAAGTTTTGAGTAATTATTGTGGTAGATTGCACATTTAATCAAATCTTGATCAAGTTTGATTGTTTGTGGGGTGACTCAATTTAAAATAAGATTCCAAATCTTAGTTCTACATCTAATTTACTTCTAGCCTTTATCTTTTGAATTTTGTAGGTCTAGCCTTTATCTTTTGAATTTTGTACTCACAATTTCTAGCATTTGCCACACATTACCATTGCTACAAATCTACTACTCCTTCCAACCGGGGCAGGGGAATCCGTCCAATTTAATTTACAAAACTCCCCGACTTTCGAAACAGGGATGAGAAGAAGAATAAATTAGACGAAGAACCATTATTTTACTCCAGAAATTTACTCGTCGTATCCAACAAAGGCTTTTTCATGGGTTCTTTTCTTTTGTAGAGGCAACATTGCCAATTGATAGAACTTTACGTTTGTACAAGCATCACCAATTGAAATGGTGGATTGAAAAATATTACTTGCTAAAAATAGGTAGAATACAAGATAACGTTGGTAAAGATTAAAATGTGACCTAAACCGATATAAAAATATATCAATCCTCATCACTACCATAGTTTTGGCACAATGACTCTAGTCCATTGTTCGTGTCCCCGATTTGAACTTCCAACTTCTGTTTGGTCTCCACCCGAGGAGTCAATTCTGGTTTCTTAATAATGGAAACCTTAATTGACAAGGATTTAGAAATCAACTTAGCATCACCGGATGTGGCGCCATTGCCATCGCCTCCTGTCAAACAACAAAAAAGAGCAAATGCATCAAAATTTGAGCACTCAATTTGTCAATAAACTTTCCAACATTAAGTATCTAAAAGAAGCTAAAAGTCATCAATCTACAAGCCTCCAACTTATTTTCATAATTGCCGAGCAGCAGTAACCAGCTATCAATTGATTAAGAAATATGGAGACTAAAGGTAAGATTTGCTTCTAAGGGCCGTATTCTAACCTTTTTCTTTCTCCATTTTTTTAGAAACAACCCAACTTTCATTGAGAAAAAGTGAGAATACACAGGCATGCAAAAAAAAAACAAAGTTGATTAAAAGGAACTCCAATAAGGAAAGAGGCTCCAAGATCTTGAAAATAATTACAAATGTAATTACGGCGTGTCCAACTGTGAGATCCCACATCAGTTGGAGAGGAGAACAAAGCATTCTTTATAAATGTGTGGAAACCTCTCCCTAACATACGCGTTTTAAAAACCTTGAAGGGAAGCCCAAAAAGGAAAGTTCACAGAGGACAATATCTGCTAGCAATGAGCTCGGGCTCTTACACCAACACCTATAGAAAATCAGGGAATCTAACAAGGTTACATGTTCACTAGGGTTTCTCAAGCCCTCTAAAGGTGTCCTCTGTTGTTCCTCTCACCCCTCGAATCCTAGCTGGCCACAAAAACCTCCTGCCAAAACGATAAATGGGAAACACCTCAATCATTTCCCACAGACCTTTGTGACTAGCAAACGACATTCAAGCACCTTAAAGAAAAGAAAAAAAAAAAAAAAAAAGAATTCCAAACAGTCATAGCTAAGTCACAACTCTATAGCCAAGGTCTTTCTCCGTCATCTGACAAAGAATGTAACAACATCAACCTATAAAAGTAGGTATCTTTCTTGAGAGTCAAGAAACTATAGAGAAAGTATTGGGAGGTAGCAAGACTTAACGTGCCCTTATGGTCGTCTATTATCTAGCCTTTTCTGCAGCAAGTGTTTAGCCTTTTTTTTTAATGCTCTTATACATTGTTTTATATATATTTCTATAAAAAAGATAATATGCATTAAAATCCACATGCCAAAGTATCATAAAAAAAGGTGTGGCAAAAAGTTCAATAGATGCAAAATCGTTCGCTATCTTGATATATGGAAAGAAAAAGAAGTCAATTAAAGGTTTAGTATCATAGTCGTATCATATGCTTGCTTGATATATGGAAAGAAGGAGCAAATCAATTAAAGGTTTAGTATCGTAGTCATATCATCCACTTCATTCACCCAAGATTTATTCTTTAGAAAAAATGAAAAGTGGAGCTACCTTCACCCGTGAGGCTATGAAGAATAGCATCTTTTGTCGTAGTGGTAGGATCATCATGTGGAGATTCTTCAGAGAGCTTTTGCTTCTGCAATCAATTAGATAGAAATGCTAATGAGAAAAGTTTATACAAATTTGAATGCTACAAATAGGGTTAATTAGCAAAAAAAAAAAAAAAAAAAAAAAAAAAAAAAAAAAGAAAAAGAAAGAAAGAAAGAAGATGAAAGCATCTTTGTGCATAAAAATAATACAAATAGGAGAAATTTTGAAGTATGGGGGAAGATAAACTTTGTTGGCACCAAGACCAAAACGTTCAACAATAGGAGAAGGCCCCATTTTCTTTGGATGGAGCTTGCCATGAACACTCAAACGCACCACAAGATGCCCGATGGAAAAAGGTCGAAGGCTAACGGTGCTTATCAGTCAGAAGCTTGTATGAGGCATCTGTAGTATTTTGTGGGGGTAATTTGGTGAATTGAACCTTTGAGGTTCTGAACATTCCAGATTCTTCTAAAAAGCTCTTCTTCCTTGCTAGAACTATCAAGTCCTAAGAACTTGGGTCTTGAATTTGAAGAGGCGCGAGTGTGTTTCTTGGATAACCTTAACGAGTGTGTTTCTTGGATAACCTTAAGGTCTTCTTGCCATTTCTAGGGGACGTCTTTGGTTAAAGTTCTTGATGTGTTCTTGCTTGTGTTTCATGAGGTTGAAAGGGGCACTTGGCTCTAGATCATAGTAAGGCCGAGTGGACATCAAGTCCATCCATTCAGTAAAGGTCTTCATCATTTGGTGAAGACCAAGTTGGCTATTCTTCGTCTCTACCATGGATTCTTCCATTCTAAGGAGACGTTGAAAGATAGATCTTCAGGAGCGGACATTAACTAACCTCTTCACCAGTTCGAGCTACATCAATACAGAAGGTGGCATCAACTGAATTCTTTCCTCCAGCCATTTAGGTTCCCAATCAAACTACCATAAGACTAATCTTGCAGGATTCTTGAATCAAATATTTAATAAATAATATCTCTTACAATCTATAGATCGCTATTAAAGGAGCCACAAATCAGCAGTCATTAGCAACAGTAACTTAATAAATAATATCTCTTACAATCTAGAGACCCCTATTAAAGGGGCCACAAATCAGCATCTAAGTCATTAGCAACAGTAACTAAGAGCTTAAAAAATTACAGTCTCACAGCTAGCCAATTAACTTGGCCTTAACCCCAGTGAAGGCTTAAAGACTAACATCCAGCCATAAAAGAATATTAAAGCCACAGTAAAAGAAAGAATCAACTATAAAAAATAAAAAAAAAGTACACAAAAAGAGTACACTATGTCACTATATCACAGAGAAATAGAACACATAGTGGCTGCCATAAGATCTCAAGACTTTAAAGTCTAATCTCATTCTTACTAAATTGCTTTCAACAAATTCTTTCTAATCACCATATTCACCCTTGATTGGCCAAACATCTCAGACTCTCAAAAACTGCACAACCAAATTTTACAAAGAATAATAAAAACTGCACAGCTAGCTTCTTATGTCATGAAGAAGTTAAGAAGAAGCTAAATAGTTGAGATTCACAGAGACTGGACCTGATTGGTCAATCCAGTTTATAAATGTATAACTCACACTATTAATGTTCACTATTAATCTACTTATATGGAATAAAAGGAGCTTTGCTTGCTATTTTATTACCTTAGCATTAATGTTGGATGTTTTGTCATTGTTGGTTGAAGGTTGTTCAGAAGGACTGCTATCATCAAACTGATCATCTGAAATTCTTTTAACATAATTGTTTGAGTTCTGCGCATCGGAATATTGACAAATGTATATGAAAATTCATAATTCCTCACAGGAGTAAACAAAAAGAAATAACTGTAAATGGAAGAAGAGAAACACTTTGAAACTATAAACTCACGTTGAAGACTATAGATTTTATCAACGCTTCATCCTCTTCTTCTAACTTCTTTTCCTGCAAAGTAAACATTTTAAAATTAGTAAAAATGGTGAAATTGACGCCCTACAAGAAAAAGGAGAACCTAGGTTTTTGTTTTCAATACTACGTCTCATATATTTCATGTCCAAATGATTTGTGCTATACATACCTTTTCTGCAGCAGTTTGTTGCAAAGCCAAAAGCATTGAATCAATACTCACAGTTGCGTGTCTGGACTGCAAAACAAACACCCACCAAGTTGTTTAAAACAATAAACTGAACTTAATAATAGAAGAATCTCAATCAAAGCCACAGCTCCAAGAAACAAAGCACAAACCAAGAATCTCAATGACAAAACAATGTAATAAAAAGAAAACCTTCATAGACTTCATCTCATCCAAAGCAGCAAGGATGTCCATCTCGCGTTTAGAATCCAAGGTTCTATTCTCCAAAGATTTCATTGCATCCCCCATCTCTTCAGCACTCCTTTTGTGTTTCTCTTTCTCTGAAACTTCATCCTCCTCACGCCACGGTTCAAAATTACGTGTGGCTCCCGACTCTACAATATAATCTGAGTTTTGGGGGTCTGTCTTGATGGTGAGTTCAGCAGAACATCTAGTACACTTGAAGTAGAATCTAAACAGTTGAATTCCCAAATATGTCTGAGATAAGGCAAAAAAAAACCATGAAAAAATTAATTGTAATAAGAACAAACATATTTTAAGTTATGTTTTAAGTCAAAAGGAAAAAATATCAAAGGCATTCTCTTGCCTCACCAACGACGTCCTCCTTGCGAGAATTGAACTTGGTACCCTTGTATATGTAATTACCACAAGTATTGCATCGGATGCTCATCGGAAGCATCATACGGACCTTGATTTGCTGGTTTTTGGGCCTACGAACCCTTGGTAGCTTTGATGGATCAAAATCCGGTGGGTAGTATTTGTTAAGCACCTTCCTCTCTCCCATTTTATCTCACTGTAGTAGAAAACAACAGAATGGTGTACCAGTCAATATCTAGCACATCCCAAAAACCAATATGCCATATTTTAGAGGAATGCATGCACTTGTCCCATTTAATCCCAACAACCATGTAGTATTTGTTAAGCACCTTACTCTCTCCCGTTTTATCGAAGGAATGCACTTGAGCATGGAAATTATTCAAATAAAGAATTTTTCAAACGAACAACCTAAGATCTTCGACAAACTCCCCATATCCAAGATCGCGCAAAATGGACCATTGCACAGCAGTAAAAAACAAAAGAATAGAGTTCAACTATATCTTTTCTTATTCTGTCTACTCTTCGCTTCAAGCATTTGTTCTCTTCTCTCTCAGTAGACAACACATCTAAGTATTTTCCCACGATTAAAGCTTATTTTCCCACATTTCTTCTACCGCCCCTCACTATCAATACCTATACTATATACGAACTTTTTAACATAAGTCTTTTACTCTAATCATTTTCTATAACTTTCTAAATCAAGTACATGTAGTACAAAGCATACGAAAAGCTCTTATGTCCATAAATCCATAGTATCATTGGTGTGACAATTAACCAATTTTATGGTTAATATGAGGATAGAACTTCCATTTTTTCTTCGGTCGATCAAAAATAACTACTGCAAGCTAGGGTTTTAAATAGAATTGGATAATATGATAGATTACTTCGACAGTTTCTGCGAGGAAATTTATATATTCGGCTAATGCTATTCACACAAAAAAAAAAAAAAAAACCTAAACAAACTCCTCTACTAACAAGCCCTAATTCGTTGTGAGAATAAAGGCATAGATGAAGATTGAAAGAATAACAGTAACAATAAAAGAGTAGAAAATCAATGCAGACCCGACAAGAGAGATGCTACGCCGGCACGAGCTGAAGAAATACGATTGCGGCGGCGGCGGGAGCACAGAACTGCTAGAAGGTGGAGGAGACGGCGAGCATAAATGGCCGTAGGGTCAGATTTGTTTTGTTTTGTTTTTTGTTTTTTTTTTTCTTTCGTTTTTTAAGAAAAAAAGGTCTGTAATTTACATTGATTTAATAATTTTTAATTAAATTATCTTTGAAATATTTAATTCTACCTCCAAAATTACACGTCTGTTAATTTTTATTCTAAATCTTATTATTATTATTATTATTATTATTTTATCAACTGTATCAAAAGAATAAAATATTGATAATATTAATATTTAGATGATATTATCTTATTAATTGAATTCGATATTTTTTATTTTATTTTATGTAATACAGTGTAATATTTTCAAAATATTTACTTATATCTCTTCTTTTTAATGAAATTTTATTTACAAAATAAATAAATAATTCTTTAAGAATTATGAATATTAATATTTGCCTTAACAATGGAACCATATGATCATATTACCTAGAGTGATTTTCTAATAAAGATTTAGTAGTTATTAATTTGAAAGTTTAGGAGATCAATTAGAAGATTCAGTCGTTATTGATTTGAAAGTTGAGGGGATCTATTAGAAAGGTTTAATAGTTATTGATCTAAAAGTTTAGAGATTGATGATGCAATCTCCACTATAAATCCTCAATACTACGTTATTTAAACAAAATATATATATATATATATATATATATATATATATATATATATATATATATATATATATATATATATATATAGATAGATAAATAGATAGATGGATGTACGTATGTATGAGTGCTCAAGATTCCTCTATTTAAAAGCTTTTCCCCTTAAGTTGTTCTTCCGCTTCAGTTATAAGATTTGACATATTTTGATCGTGGGCAATTTCTAACATTTGGTATCAAAGCTTCTAGGATGTCCAAACAAATGTCGTCACTACACGAAGTTGTCAGAGGAGATGTGACAACTATAAGGAGCGAAAGGGAGGGGAGTGTAACGCTCCAGTGCCCATTATTCACGAGGAGTAACTATGCAGCATGGTCGGTAAAGATGCGTGTTAATTTACAAGCACAGGGCGTATGGGACGTCGTCGAGTATGGTGACGTTGAGGCATAAAGTTAGGATGGCTCTTGTCACCATTCGCCAAGCAGTCTCAGAGGACATCCTTCTCATGTTGGCAGCATGGGAGACGCTGCAAACAATGCATGTGGGCGGAAATGTGACAACGATAAGGAGCGAAAGGGAGGGGAGTGTAACGCTTCAGTACCCGTTATTCACAAAGAGTAATTACGCAGCATGGTCGGTAAAGATGCGTGTTAACTTACAAGCACAGGGCGTATGGGACGTCGTCGAGCATGGTGATGTTGAGGCGTAAAGATAGGATGGCTCTTGTCAACATCTGCTAAGCAGTCTCAGAGGACATCCTTCACATGTTGGCAACATGGGAGACGCTGCAAACAATGCATGTGGATTGTTAGGTCAACGTTCTAACCAATTGAAATAATAAACTTGACTTCTCCACAAAGATATACCACTGGTAGATAAACCTTGCTCTGATACCCCTCGTTATCTTTGATTGAGAAATTTTCCTAGCGAGGAAATCTTTTACGAAGAAAAATTACGAAGAAATTGATGGGAGAAGAAAAACTGAAGAAAATAAAGGAAATCCTTGAGGAAGAAATTGTTGGGAGAAGAAAAACTAGAGAAAATAAGAGTATGGAAGCTTTGGGATTTGTTGCTGAAAAACATGGAACAAATGTTTCTCTTTTAATTTGTCTATTTAAAAGAGATTACATCCTAAAATTGGCGCGAGTGGCCAACAAATCTCGGACATAAAGTTGACATAAATGGCCAGCTAAAAATACACTCTTCAATGATAGATGTAGTGTTATTTCAGATATACTAAAATGTAGTGTTATTTCAGATATCCTAAAAACAAAAATCAACTAACTAAGTTTAAGGAAACGTGTGAATAACCTAAAGACGACGACGACAAAAAAAAAAAAAAGCTTTTTATCTAACAGCCTAGTCTCCAAAAAAGAAAGATTGTCGTTCCCAGCTCAAACCAGTATTTGTGTTGAGCGACCACTGCAACTAGTACATGCAGATTTGTGTGGCCCGATCACCTCATCATCGATTGCTGGTAATAAGCATTTTCTCTTACTTTTTGACGATTACATTTTTTGGATGTGGGTGTGCATGCTCAAAGAAAAAGGATAGGCATTATGTGCGTTCAAGAAATTCAAAAGACTCGTTGAAAACGGGTTTAATGACAAGCTGAAAACCTTGCGCACCGAACGAGGTGGTGAGTTTTTATCCCATAACTTCTCAAAGTTTTGCGAAGATGAAGGTATCAAACGTCAACTCACTGCACCGTACACTCCACAACAAAACGGTGTGATCAAACAAAGAAATCGCACCATAATGAACATTAGAAGAAGCCTACTCAAGAAAATGCAAGTCCAGACAATTTTCTGGGGTGAGGCAATATGACATGTGGTTTATCTTCTAAATCGTTTAACCAACAAAGGCACTGGAAACATGCGGCCCCTACAAAGCATGGTTCCGTAAGACACCTCACTTTGAGTACTTAAGAGTCTTCGGTTGTACAGCACATGTTAAGACTGCAAAACCATATATCAAAAAGCTTGATGACAGAAGCCAAAAGATGGTGTACTTTGGCGTAGAGAATGGAACCAAGGCTCCTGGTTGTATGATCCGCAACATGAGAAATTCATGTAAGTAGAGATATCGTATTTGAAGAAGAGGAGAAGTGGAATTAGTGCAGCATTGGCGATAACAAGCAGAATGTTACAGAGTTCAATGCTTTGGAAGAAGAGGGAGACGCAACAGACCTAGAAAGTGCCCCTATAGCAACACCAACAAATCCAAACATGTCATCACGAGTCTCATCGAAAGGCGTGGTGAACTCCCTAGAATAAGAGAGCTCAGGCGAGAGCACAGGAGGATCCACAACAGAGGATGAACCAAAGAAGTTTCATTCACTTGCTGAAATTTATGCAGATACACTTGGATTAGAACTGGATCCTGATGGGTTAGTGTTGCTTGTGGCCGAGGAGTCAACAACCTACTGTGAGGAAACAACTGAGATGATGTGGCAGGATGCCATGCAAAAGGAGCTTGAAGCGATTGAGAAGAATAAGACGTCGGCACTAACTAACTTACTATCCAAACACAAGCCCATCAGTTTGAAATGGATGTTTAAGCTGAAGGAAATGTTATCAAGCATAAAGTAAGACTCGTGGCGAAGAGATATGTGCAACGACAAGGAGTTGATTTTGAGGAGGTTTTCACGCCTGTGGCTAGACTTGACACTGTAAGTTTGATTCTTGCCCTCGCAGCTCAACACGAGTGGGAGGTCCATCACTTAGACGTCAAATCAACATTTCTAGATGGTGACCTCTAATAAGAAGAGTATGTTGCCCAACCTGAAGGGTTCGTCATTAAAGGCGAAAAGCACAAAGTGTACAAGTTATCAAAGGTCCTATATGGTTTATGGCAAGCACCGAGGGCGTTGAACATACGTCTGGACAAGAGCTTAAAGAGTCTAAACTTCATGAAGTACTCACAAGAACAAGTAGTGTATATAAAAACGATGGGGTTGAAACATTCATCATTGGCGTGTACATTGATGACCTGATTGTCACTGGCACAAGTGTGAAAGGCATCAAAGAGTTTAAGCAGCAAATGGTGAAAGAATTTGAGATGAAAGATCTCGGGTTATTCTCGTACTACCTCGATATTTAAGTGGACCAAAGGTAAGATTGCATCACGCTAAAGCAATTAGCCTATGCTAAGAAGTTGTTGCAGCAATTTAAGATGGCAGAATGCAACCCGACCAAGTATCCCATGGAAGCAAAGTTACAACTCGGAAGATGCTGAAGGAAGCTTGGTGAATCCCACTGAGTATACTTGACTCATACTCGTCTGGACCTTTCATACATTGTTGGAACAATGAGTAGGTCCATGGAAAAGCCCACTATGATGCATCATCAAGCGGTTAAGCACATTCCCCGCTATGTGAAGGGAACCACAAGCTATGGGTTGAAGTATCAAAGAAGGCCAGGTCTTGAATAACTAGTCGGTTTTACCAATAGTGATTTAGCTGGAGACATTGACAAAGCATCTTAGGAATGACATTTTATCTCAACAAAAATTTGATCTCTTGGCAATCTTAGAAGCAGCGAACTGTGGCACTATCTTCCTGTGACACCGAGTTCATGGCAGCAACTGCGACGTTGTGTCGAGCATTATAGCTGAGAAATTTGTTGAGTGAAGTGACTAGAAGTGAACTAAAGTCGGTAACTCTCTACATTGATAACAAATTCGCGATTGCATTGATGAAGAATCCAGTATTTCACGGATGTAGCAAACACATTGACACTCGCTTCCACTTCATCCATGAGTGTGTTGAGAAGAGACAAATCGTTGTGGAGTTCGTATGCACTATAGAGCAATGTGCCGATATTCTAAACAAAGCCCTAGCAAGGGTTAAGTTTGTAGAGATGCAAGAATTGCTGGGAGTGAAAGTCAATGGAGAAGAATGTGAGTTAATAAGCTTGACTTAGCAAAAGAAGTTATTAACGTGGAGCGATTTTAGGACAAAGATTTAGTAGTTATTAATTTGAAAGTTTAGGTGAAAGTTTAGGCAATTAGGAAGATTGAGTAGTTATTGATTGGAAAGTTTAGGAGATTGCTTATACAATTTCCACTATAAATACTTTGTATATTATTTACACCAAAAAAAAAAAATAATAATAATAACATTCAAGAGCTCTCTCCCCTCATGTTGTTCTTCTGCTTCAATTATAAGTTTCGACATATTTCGATCGTGGGCAATTTCTAACAGGCTGATTGGGGATCGATTTCACCATGGAAACAAGGTTATAGAGCTGTGAAGTTAACAAGTTGATGCCTTCAGATACTAGACCTTTGACAATGTTATTGGTGCCTTCGAATCCATTCATGCATGTTTCTGAATTAACCCGTGCAGCGCTCAGCCATGTCTTTAGATCAGAACTCAGATCTCCGGTACTATTGTTCTTA